GCCCCTTTCCCCCCCCCCCCCCCCCCGGTATCCGTCTTAAATTGGCTGTACCCTTCATTTCCACTTTCTGATATCTGATAAAAGTGAGCCTAGAAATTAGACTTCTTGAGGGGCAGGATGTGGGTTGAAATTGAACTGTGTCCTTATATGTTGGCAAAAGTGTGTCTTCTGTTTTCGACCAACTGATGACACTAACAAACATCAATGGAGGTTAGTGCTGTGATGGCTCAAGCTTGGGGGTGGGGGGGGTGATAAATTAATGTGTGACACCTTGGAACCTACTTCGCCAGCTGTTTATCTCTCCCCCCACTGTGTTCCTCTTCTCCCTTGCACGGAAATGGTCAAAATAGTCATTTTCTCCTTGTGTCTAGCTGTAATTTATTAACATGCCCCTTTGAAATAATATGCATTATTAAGTAATCAATCTCTCCTTTTAAGGTAGCATTTATTTACTGTGGTCATTATGGAAAGAAGAACGGTAGGGTTGATTGCAGTTGTGTGTGTCTGAAATCACTTTTCGTCCAACATCTGTAGGGAACTCTATTATTATTATTATTTTCTGGGATGAAAGCTCAGCCAGATGTTTGTCTTGCACCTTTCCCCTAATTATCCAATGACATTTATGAAAAATTAGTCATCTCATTTTATGGGCTAGTATGTTATGTGCTATTTCTTAGATGGGACCACAGACTGAAATGCTTTAAAAATGCTTCGTTACTCCTTAAAAATGTTTGCTTCTCCCCTTCCCCATTCCATGCTTAAGCTGGGTATAAACGTGAAGTTGTCACTGATGGCAAATACATTTGTCCCATTTCTTACATGTTATCAAAACAATGTATATTGGCTGGCTGTAGAACAGATAAGAGATCCTCAAGAGCAATCTGAGTTGCAGATCAAAAACAACTCTTTTTAATTCTGCTCAAACACAATTGCTTTCATGTTCTCTGGGACTTTGCAGAAATTCCTTTGCTGAAGGAAAACTAAACTGGTGGACATCTTATTCCATAATACTTCATCCCCTGCAATAACTTTGCATGTTCATTCAGAAGTCAGTCTCATTAAGTTCAGGAGGCCTCTGACTTGTAGCAAAAGTAAAATGTGGGGTTTCTGGCAAACCCCATGTAATCAGTCTGGCATCTCCTCTGAACTAGAGTTCCCATGATTTGGGACGGGATGGGTGAAGATGAAATGAACTCATTCTTTGTATAAATATCGAATCTGCATACATATGAGTGCATAATATGAGAGGTGTAAATTCCTAGTGATAGATAAGAGGTAAGGAATCTGCTCTACGAAAGGGTTGAGTTCCTTTCTTCTGCTTTTTCTATGTTGCTTGGTTTGTAACACCTGCTTGGGTATCTCAGTACATGGTTAAACAACCAGAATGAGTCACGTCGGTATGGGTCACCAATATTTGAAACTGGGAACTCTGCAAAATTGAGTGGAAGGGTGTTTGTCCATAAGAGTGAGGGCAAAGCTGTGCATAAACCAGATCCCTTGCTTTTAATATATTTCCATACTCTATAGCAGTGTTTCTCAACCTCAGCAACTTTAAGCTGGGTGGACTTCAACTCCCAGAATTCCCCAGCCAGCATGGGAGTTGAAGTCCACCCAGCTTAAAGTTGCTGAGGTTGAGAAACACCATCCTGTAGGAGTATTGGCGCTGTGTAGGATATAGGGCAGAATCTGTATTTCTCAGGCTGCATCAGGCTCCCAAAAACCTTGGTTGTATCTTCAGGAGGCCTTCCTTAAGTTGCTACCAACTTCCAGGGCTGAATGCAACCAAGAGACAAATAGTCACGTGCATGACAAGAGAGCTGAAGCGTTCACTTGATTGATATTTGATTCTACCTAAATTTAATTTTTGCCCTGTGCCACCCTCCGCTTTATGCAAAGCAACTCATTGTGTGCTGCTCCAAGGCCAGATGTGGCTTCTGTCCCCCAAAAGTTGGGTGTTCCTCCTTTAGGTTATGAACTCACATTCCCCTTCAGGCTATGATAGTATTAGTAGGAATCTGATTCCAAATTTGTGCATACATAGAGGGCCCTGGTTCTGGTTCGTAGGTGGTCCAGAAATAGAGAAGGTGGCTATGGGGAGTCCCCAGATCAGTCAGAGGTTTGAAGTTGGATGTCTGTAAGTTTGTGCTCGAGGCAAAAGCAAGGATGGCCTTGGGAGAGCTGGGATCTCTCCCCCCCCCCCAAGCTCTCTGCAAGCATGTGACAAAAACCGTCTGGAGCTGTTCCCCTCCAGTTCTGCTGGATTGATCTGCAGACCCCCTGTAGCCCACCAGCATTTGTTTTGTGGACCTGAGAGCCTTGATGACTTGGCAGAGTTGAGGTTTTGTATGTTTATTTATTTATTTATTTTTGGAGGGGGCAAAAAAGTGCAGAGTCCTTGGTGATGTCTGAGTTTGGTGGTTTGCTTGCAGACATTTCGTTACCCAACTAGATAACATCTCTGAAGATGTTACCTAGTCAGGTAACGAAACATCTGCAAGCAAACTCAGAGAACACCAAGGACTCCACAGTTCAACCATGAGCTACATATATTCTCTTCTATTGGTACAAAATAGTGCATTAAGCCTTGCAGAGACTTAAGGCATTTCACGCCTACAGTTCCCCACTGCTAATAGGCCCACTTTAGTTGCGGGCCCCATCCACTTTGGGAGGGCATCCTGCACTTGCTACACATGTCTGGTGGATCTCTTGGGCCAACAGAAATTTTGCTTTCCTTCCTTCCTCTTCCTTTGCGAAAAGGACTTGTTTTAAAGCTAGGAATCCCCTTCTTACAGGTCCAAGCTAGGTTCTTCAGGGGACAAAGGAAGCCTTCCTGAACCTGAGGGCTCTCTAGATTTAAATTCCCAGAATTCCCCAGCCAATATGGCCACTGCAGAGAACCCTGGGATTTGAAGTCTACAAAGGTAGAGGCTGACCAAGCTGAAGAAGGCCAGAGGAAGACATTTTGGAACTTAACAATGAGACCCATCTCTTGGGGAGGGGGTATGTCCTAGGGACAAGAATTTTTGCAAGTCCCACTAGGAAACCATGGATGTCTTAATCAGCCCTGCACCCAAGAGTTCCTGGTTTTCAATGCCATAAAAGAGGAACCATCTATTTAGGCACTGAGGCACCAACGGCTCTTTTTCTGGAGTGTTTATAAAGTTTAAGATTCTCTTTTCAGTTTTGGTGTCTGTAACTCAGTTGTGTTAGCAACTACATTGTTATGATCTGTGGTTGCAATAAGCCAATTCACCTTACCTGTGTTAGCAATGGCTTATAGCATCTGACATAGGTTGCGTAAAATGCACAATGATGCATATAATTTATCAGCCTGTTGCATTCTCTTGAAAAATTGTGGACTTGATTCAAATGTGGGCTATTAAAAAGAATGAGAGATGTGACTGAGAGGTAGAATTGCTCTGGTTTTGTCTGTAGGTGAGCAAGCATCAGCAGTTCTACAGAGTGGATTCATTTTTTAAGTGTAAATCTTTGTGGGGTGAATTAGGAAACACCCACCCAACAAATACTGAGTGCCTTTAGGGATTAGGGGGTGCTGCAAGTTTTGTTGGGATGGGGGGATTTGACAGAATAACCTAAAAAGTGGCATGGTTGAGGTTCTCAGTAGGAACACTATCCATGATAATATTTTGCTGCAAATCAGATAGTGTTATTAATCAGCAACAGCCAAAGAGGGAGGGAGTGGTTATTTATTTGTTTGTTTGTTTGACTGATTGATTGATTGATTGTTTGATTCACTTTGATGGTGCTCAACTCCAAGCCAGACTCGAACAGAAGAAGAAGAAGATGAAACATTTGATAGATTTCTCCAAAACGTTCCACCAACATCTAACATCCAGTGGAGGGGGTCCAGCTGCTAAAGCCCAAGGCCTAGGGGAACAGGTCTTGATGACCATCTGGAATGCCAACAGGGTGGGGTTATATTCTCATATAAAATGAAGCACACTATTTGTTTACAATGTTTGTGTCCTGCTCTTCAATCAAAGTTTTTGCACCATCATAAAAGACAAATGGCAAACATCTAAAAATGCTTGAAAATCAAATAGAAACATGCATGCCAGGAATCTGAGTTGTTACAAGTAAGAAGACTCTGTCCAGATTTCTGCCAAGTGAACTTCAGCTGGCAGAGAGGAAAATTGGAAGGGAATCTCTGTGCACATATGTAGAAAGAAGACTTAAATGTTTAGGTCAAATGGAGCCTGAAAATTCACCTAGGCTATTTAGAGGGATAAAATTGGAACGATAACTTGCTTTTCTCAGCAATAAGTTTAATTTAGGAAAGGATGTCTCCTAAAGGAAACATTAACCCTCTTGAATTAGGTATTCCCCCTTAAACTTGAGTCAATTTAAAATAATTCTGAATATC